ATAAGGAAATATAACACAATAGAAGAATAAATAAAAACGTATAACTTGAAAGAAGGAACGAAAAAGAGAAAAAAAAATATTCCATAAGGCTCTTCAATCTATCTTTCTACCCATTATTGATGTTTCTCTGATGATGATGGCGAAAATAGCCATCATCTACATAGAAGGCGGAACCAAGAGCCACCCTTTACTTCACCGACCCAGTCAAGGGCATATGTGGGTCAACTCCAGTTTAGTTTGGCATTCGTTCATCTTCTTATCTTCTCCGTTTGTTTACTTTTTGATTTAAAAAACATTATACCTTTCTTTTATTAAAGGAAATGGCTGCAATTATTTAGTTTAATTTTCCCTAAATATATGCACACAAATTTATTTCGTAAGAAGTATTGATTTTAAGGGTTATTAATTTATACTTATTATTTACTTACATTTTTAACATAATTTTAAAAATTATATGCAATACTTTTCATATCATTCACATATGTACACCAATCTTTTTTCGTTAATATTCTATTTTTACCAGATACGTAGGTACATGTATGAATTAAGATGTTCAATTAACAATCATTGTGAATTGCTTTTGTCACCTTAAATAAATATGAATAAATAAAATATTTAGCTTTTAAGTATGATAAAAAATAACTCATAAATATGAATGCACTAAAACAAGGAATTAAGAGATTTAAGTTTGATATATAGTTAACAAACAATCAATAATTTTATCAATTAACATTTTTCAACAAATAGTCAACTTGAAGTAAATAAATAAGTTTTGTAAATAGTAAAATACGTATGTTCCTTGCACTCAAAATAATAGACAATGATACTAAAAAAAAGCTGTCTTTACTATACACATTTTTTTATTAATGTCTACAGTTTTTTTTAAATAAATAAATAATTGTTAATTATCTATGCAAGTTTTTTAATTATTATAAAATTGAAAGAAACATTGCATTTGCTGTTTTCAATTTCATACCTGTTAGTAAAATGCACAAAATAAAAACAATGAACATACGTCATTTTTTGATTTTTATTAACGGATCTTCTCGCTTTACACGGTGAAAATTAGTCTGGTAAAATTACCATACCATTTAGCAAAAAGTAACGTAAAAGTAATGGTTATTCTAAAAAAAAAACCATCAAAATTCGAGTGTAAAAAAGCAAAATATACCGTATTTGAACCTGTTTTTGATAATTTTTTTCATTTATGTAGTAACGGTTAATAGGAAATACTGATTTTTAAAATTATTATCACACGTTTCGTAAAAATAAGATCGCTTATATAATGACACATTTAGTAACAAAAAACAAATGTGAAAGTAAATTTCTCCGATTAAATGGTGTTTATGCCATACCAACTAATTAAATTTGACCTAATTTGAAAAATTTTATCACATATTATGAAACTATTGTTAGTTTTTTCAAAATCACTGCCAATGCTTTTCGGAAAATATCAAATTACTGAGCTTTCAGGTATTCTTATAGAGCCAAAAACACGACAAATTTTATCATATTTTGGTCATAGTTTTTTTCTGAATGCAAGAATTAACCAAAAGGTTGATGAATGATATTTTTATTATTTTTTAAATTTTCATTTCTCACAAATTACTCAACTGATAATTCTTAGATTTTGGATTTTGCCCTTCAAACTTGCATATCTAAATTTTTTATGTGTTATAATTCAAAATTTTTGTCATTAATTATTCATTTAAATCGCAAAAAATAACAATTTTAAATAATTATAATCAGTGTTAAGTTTCATAGTTGCGTGTAGGGCATGTTTTATTTACTTAAATAATTTTATAGATAGGATGAAGTAGGTAAAATTAAAATTAACCTTTAAGAGAACGAACATTCAATTTCTCCCCTAACTAAGTTATTGGATCCATATTTTTCAAAATGTAGTTATCCTTCATGAGGGCTAAAAACCTAAATCGGTTGAAAAAGTAATGCTCAGAAAATATTCAGAGAAAATACGTTTTTGTGTCTGATTTCGTAACTTGGTAATATTGTAATATTGTCTGTATTAATTAACTAGCATATTTGATATTATCTCTTCGAACCACCGAGAACACATATTATTCAATGCGATCATATATTATTTAGTGTATATTATTCAACGTGTATTACATATTATTCAGAGTGTGATAATTCGATCAAAATTTTATTCAGTGTGTGATAATTCGATCAAATTTTATTCAGCTGATCTGTCTTCATTTTTCAATCTCTACAATGATGATGAAGTAATTTTTGATGTTGAAAAAACTATGCATTAAATTCCAAATGTTGAAAGATACATTTAAGATGTGCAAATCACCTTATCAGTGTCAATTAACAGCCTGTTTAGACACACTATAAAAGATAAGAGGCAATAATACCCATTTCCGTATTCTTATCTTAATACCTAAAAAACGGAAATGTCTGAGCTATATTAAATCAGAACTCAAAATAAACATACATCTTTTAAGAACAGAAAGTGATGAAAATCTAATAATTCCGAATATCGAATTAAATGTTTAGATTTGTTATCTGTCGCATACTTTTACTTTAATTTTGTTCTTTTTAATAACTTTATTTTATTAATAAAAGGCGAAGTACAAAAATTAAATTTATTATACTTTTTTTTCTGTTAAAGATAACAGAAAGCATTTTTATAAATGAGATTAATTTATAGTATTAAATTTGTTTTGAATTAAAATACTTGCAATTATTTAAATTTCATATTTCATTTTGCTCTGATTAACTTGCATGTTCATATTAACAATTATTATGCAGAAAATAATTTGGAAAAAAATAATAAATTTCAATATTTTTATTGCATTGGATAGATATCAAATTTTTTAACCATATAAGAATGATTTTTTTCAGTTACATATATCGGAACATAACTAGTCAAAATATAATTGGGCAAAATTTAAAACTTATGAAACACTATAATAAGTATTTTTAAAAGTAACATACAACCTACAATAAATATTTAGATTTTGAAATATAAAAAAGAAATATAAAGATAGTTGAACTATATTTTTCAATGAACGAAACGCTTAGGAATTAAGAAATAATAAATGTTTTCAATTTAATCAACTAAATTCACCACATTACTTTTCAATATACAAGATTATTACAAGCTGGTACTTAATTATTTAAGACGTAAGGATGCCTATAGCACAATAAAATTCATATTTTTCTAAAAAAAATTCTTGTTTTAAAAAGCTCAAATACCTAATTGAAATTATTAAAATGTAAGTTAAAGGTACCGCGCAAAAATAAGCATAGCATGAATATAACTTTTATCATAATATAACTCTTCTGTTTTTACCAAAGAAAATTCGTCAAGTAAAAATGTTTAATTATAAATTAACTATTTATATCAAATAATAAATGCGATAATTTTTAATCTGTGTAACCCAGTATATAACGAACATTTTTAAAAGGCACTAGTTTTCAAATATTTATAATTTGATTATTAAAATGGCTTGAACGCCAAAATGACGGAATGAATAACTATTTGTAATAATAATATAAATAAATAGAAATTTTAATAAAAGAATATCGACAACATGAACCACTTCTTTTCTCACAGATATTTCAATAGATATATGCGTTGAAAATAAAAATTATTCACAAAAAAATGTTCAGCATATTAATACATAATTTATAAATGACGATTTTTAAAAACATCATATTTTTCGAAATTAATACGTTAAATATTTTAATTGTTTGTAAAATTACGGATAAGCAATCGGATAATCAAACTTATATTTCACCACGAGCCTCAGGTGGAGTAACGCATGTTTATTTTGCGAACATTTTTGTGATAATATTTTGCTTAAAAAATTAATACAAATGAAATTAATACAATTAAAACACGTCAGTGTACTCAAAAAAGCATTTTAAAAATCACAAAGGTAATCTTAACTTTTTAATTTAATAAAACGAAATTATTACAAAGTAGTTATTTTGATGATTGTGTTTGTTATTAGACTGTAATTTTATTAAATTAGCGTATAATATGTGTTCAAAGCATTTCTACTATAGGTAATTAGTTGAATTGTGACACAGATGATTAATTGAAAGAATCATACTGTGTTAAAAATGAAGAAAAGATGGACTTTCTTAAAAAGGTCTTCTAAATTAATACGTTGCTTGTGTCAAACTTAAATAAAACGCATCCATTTTTATAAAATACGTCCATTTTTTTAAAATGCCTCCATTTATTTAAAATGCTTCAATTTATTTAAAACGCATCTAAAAATACCCAATTCTGGCAAAAATATTTATTAAATACTTACGACATTAAACGTTAAGAGTATCATATTAAATACTTATATTAAAAAGAACAAATATGAACTATTGCATTCGTTAAATGTTACTCATTTTAAATTTTATTTACGAAAATATAAATAAATATTTCAAAACATAATGTCTGCAAAAGTTTTCCTTAATATGCCGATCGAAAAACTGAAACTAGCAAAACATGGAACCTCAAATTTCAAAATATTTCCATAATTGCTTAATAAATAATCAATTATACATTTAGGAACGTAATTTTCAAATGTACAATATAAAATTAAGATGCAAGTATAGGTAATAAAAATGATAAAAAATCCTTAAGACTGTTAGAAATTATTTAAAAAAATAAATTAATTAATAATTAAATAAAATTCATTAAACCTCTGTTTTAATTATTATTATTTCCAAAAATAATTTTAAAATATCGTGTATCGTCGAACATCAATATCATTAACGAAAACTCCAATAGATAATTCAAATATATAAAATTCTCATCAAAGATTTATTTCATAGGGAAAAAACACTAACCATAAACCATGGAATAAAACAATAAAATATATTTAAGATAAATCTTAAAATATTTTTAGACAGTAATCTAATATTCTAATGCACAAGGTCAAAGTTGCGCATCCCCCTTCTCAGGAGTGGAACAGCTGTTTACAAACTTAAGACTACAACAAATAATCTATTTATAAACAAATGCTTACCTGTAATTATTCAGTGCGATTTGATCGATTTAATAGTTATCACTTCTTCCAATAAATCCCAGATTTCCTTTTAAAGCAGATATTTCGAGATATTTATGTTTCAAATGATGATAGATATAAATATTAGCATGAAGTCGATTCTTCTAAAATCGTCGTTTTATAAAAGTATAAAAATTAAAAAACAAAGAAAAGGGGAAGAAATAAGTCCGATTTTTTATTTAGTTTCCAGATGGGAAGGTTCCGTCTCTTAAATTCTTCAAAAATAGATATTATCCCCCACAATATCGGATCTTGAGAATCTCTCAGTGACACGAGCACTTCTCAAAGCAAGAGCGCTCGCGGATCGCGAAGCTCTTCCTGATATACCAAACCTGATCGCTTTCCGATGTGTGACTCCGCCGGAGCACAGCTGTTCATCAGCTGGGAGTTCGGTCTCTGAAACCTTCCGCTTCTGATAAAGAGTCCTTTATTTATTTGCAGTTTTTTGCGGTGTTACGCAATGATATGAGAACGTAATCAGACGTGATCTAATGTTTTTATTTAAAGCTCAGAAATATAAAGTATATAATCCTCAGGGATATTAGAATTCGGTATTCTTTCGGCTGAATTCGATTTTCGTGGTTGTAGACGTACAAGTACGCTAAAGTCAAAGTTTACATCTATGATAATTGCCGTGTGCAGCTGTTTTAACATTAATAAATAGAATAAGTGATTTTTCATGAAGTTTATTTATTTTGTCAAGCTTATCTAAAATTTCATATATATATATATATATATATATATATATATATATATA